ATCTTTTGTTTACAGCTGACATAAATTATTGCCTGTCAAAAATACAAAACTTGATTAGAAACCCCTGGAATTCCTCCTGTTAGCCTCAGTAGGTTTTAGATGAGCACTCTGCAGAACGATATGTGTCCCCTTCTGTCTCTGATTAGTGATCAAGATCTGTCTTCAACAAAGATAATTCACAAAATGAAGCTTTTGGATCTATAATTATCACTCTGTTTGCCATTTCAAAATTAATGACGAAAGGGTAGACATCTCTATCAAAAATTTAGGAGGATCCTTGCAACCTTGCACTCTACCTGCAGGCTCCAGGCCTCTTCATGGCAAACTGCAGTTCCCAATCACAGGGGAGAAACTACAAAAAGCCATCTCAAATAGACCATGCTGTTGCAGGGAGGAGTGGCACAAGAGGAAATGCATTGCTTTTCTGCATGGGGACTACCATACTCACCTTGGATAATGCTGTTGAGTCAGAATCATAGAATCGTAGAATAAACTAGTTTGGAGGATACCTTTTAAGATCATCAAGTCCAATCATTACCCAGCTCTGCCAAGACCACCATTAACCCATGTCACTAAGGGCCCCAACTACACTGTTAGTGAACACTTCCAGGGACAGTAACTCCACCACTGCCCTGGGCAGCCTGTTCCAATGCCCGAGCACCCTTTGTGGAAGGAATTGTTCCAGTGTAAATCTCCCTGGCATTCTCTTTTTTATCACTTGTTACTTGGGAAAAGAGTCTGACCCCGCCTCAGTACAGCCTCCTGTCAGGCAGTTGTAGAGAGTGATAAGGTCCTCAGCCTTCTCTTCTCCAGACGAACCCCCCCAGGTCCCTCAGCCGCTCTTCATCACACTTGTGCTCCAGGCCCTTCACCAGCTCTGTTGCCCTTCTGTGGACCCTCTCAAGCACTTCAATGTCTCTCTTGTAGTGAGGGCACCAGAACTACCCAGTCGGCTAGTATCATCTCTGTAGATGAAGTCTACTTTGGGATGCTTCTGTTGCTGCCTAGACCAAAGGAGAGACAAAGCTGTACAGAAAATAGTCTGATCTTGATGGAGATTTTTCAGCTAATGACAATCCAAGGAGGTAGACTATTGATCTGTTTACTTTATTTGCACTTTGTTTCTCAGATACAGATATTTTCATGTTCTGCCCATAGGGTCCAGTGATTGCCAGTGCCTCCCCACCCACCATCCAGCACAACTGGTTTTGTGCTCTCCTTTTGGTTGTACAGGAACTGACCTTAGTGGAGAACTGGCTGTCTTAAAGGTGGCAGCTCATTCATCACAGCTTTCACAGGCTGTCAGCATTGCATTTAATCTCAGCTGTAATTTTCCAAGGGAGGTTTGCAAAAGCCACAAACAGAATCTTAATGCTATAAAATGCGGTTTGTAGACAGTGAATACTTCCTGTCTGTATGAAGCTTTGCTGCATTCCAACTGCCCTGAACTATCCTGACATGAAAAACTCCCAAATTCAGCCTGAAGTCCCATGGTCCACATACTGCTGTAACTGGTATGTCTTTCCTCTCAACATGTATGTGCTTAAATGGGCCTTCAGAACCATGCACTTTGCAACGAAGATGTCAAGAGACTGTTTTCCTGGTGCTCACATATCATGTCCATGATGTTTCTTTGCCCATTTTATGGACTTTTCTTGCTCTTTTGTTGTACAGCAAACTTCACGCCCTGCTTCTATAAGACCTGATCCAAACTCTGCTGAGACAATCAGAGTTTTTAAAGCTTGGATCAAACTCAGGAAGCTTCTGCCAGCTCTCAAATTTTCATTTTTCATTATCTTCACTGCACCAGTCTTCTACCTTCATTCCCTTCTTAAGCTTTACCTGCAAAGGAACGATCTAAATTGGAATCAATATATCCAGAATTATACTCTGGGAAACAATGCCAGATTCAATCATGGAGAGTTACTCTGAATATGAGATATAAAGCTCTGCTTCCTAGATATATATTCAATAGAATGACTTCGCTGCCTGACCTGTCTGTCCATGTCATGCTGACAGACAGATCATATCTTCTGCTGATACAGACCCATGGAAGCTGCAATTTGTCAGCACGTCACTGAGCTGTGCGGATCTGGGATGGATTTCTGTGATAGAGTTTCTCTTCTGGCAATAAGATGGGAACAAGGTAAATCCCCGGAATTATGTGGGTGTCAGCGACCTCATCAAGGGTTTTATCCCTTGTTTTTCATTCCATAGGTGTCTAGCCTTTTGACTGGATTATGAGTAAAAAGCAAAATGTGTATTTTTCCTCAAGACATTCCTCTATATTTAGAGTTCCTTCAGCATGAAGATTAATTAAATTACCATAGCTATATTTTCATTGGTGCTGGAAGCAGTAATGGTAATTATGACAACATTAGATTTCAGAGAAGCCTGTTTTCAGCCTTGAAGCTGAAACGCTTCAGCTAAACATCCTGAAATTGTTTGTGCCAGGTGTCTTCCACATGCTGAATTAGTTAAGAAAATTTCCCCAAAGCAGTTAATCAGTTCCTTAGGGTAAGATTTAAGAACAATACCATCCTTTGAAACAAGCTATTGCCATTAATAACTTTAATGTTGTCTCCGTAATATGGAAGGAATCCAGAGTCCAAAACCAAACTTTTTGCTGCTTTTTATAGAAATCCAGCCAAGTTACAAGCCTCCAGCCACACAGAGGCTGGGAGGAAGTTTTCCTGCACAATTTATTTCCCCTGAGTATTCTCCACTTCTTACAGCTCTTCGCAGTCTTGTTTCATTACGAAGTGCAGCATGTCTTCCCTGCAGTTGTTCTTCCTTGCAGGTGGAATAAAACAGTTTTGATCCTAAAAAAGACAAAAAATAAAATAAAAAGTTGAATAAAGGAGGAATTACATGGCCATAGACTAGATAGTCACTGAGCAAAAGGAATGGCAATATTTTATATTTGGGTATTGCTGTGCTTGCACCCTAATTGCATTTATGAACTTAAAATTCGTTAACATAAGGATATTTCAATTTATGTGTTTTGTTTTTTTTTTTTCCTTTAGGTAATGAATGTATGAAATCTTCGCTGAAACTGCAGCTCTGTGTAATCATTTGCACAGAACTGCAGTGTCTTTAGCAAAATAAAATAAAAAAAAAATCATCCTTCAACTCAAACAAGGCATAGCAAGGAAAAACTGATTATAAAGTCCAAAATAGACCAAAATAGTCTTCTATCCAGACAATCAATTTTTCAATGGTGCCCAACAGACATTGAATCACACATTTTGCTTACACAGCTGCCCAGAGAAAAACATGGACCATATTGCTACCCTTCTCCTTTTTGCTAAAGGTTGGCAATTATAGCAGTTGTAAAGTAGTAATTTTTCATTGTGTCAGAGAGTACTGTTCAGGATGCCATACAACCTCCCTGCTTACCCTTACAATATTCTTAATTAAGATTATACCTGTAACATAGAGGAATAATCCTAGTAATGTTACAACATTTGTGATTCAATGCAAAGGGTGATGGGGAGGGATTTTGTGGTCTGTGTTACGCAGGTACTTGTTTGGTTCAGATTTATCTCCAGGCTGGAATGAACTGACTTTCTGTTTCATCCCAAGTCCTGTTTATCAGTGTGTCCAGCTTTACAGATAGATGCCAAAAGTGCAGTGAGGTGATGTCACAACTTTAACATAAAGGGCATTTTGCTCATGTTTGTATTTTAACACCAGCGTTTGCTTCCCTAATAAATATAAATGGCACTTTGTATGCATGCCGGTTGGGTGCATGCCGGTTGAAATATGAAAAACAACCAAGATCAGTCTTGTGGTAGTAGAAATTAAGACTTTTCATAGCTGATTTTGCTGATTCTGCTGATTTTGTAGCCTTTCACAAGGCTGTCTAAAAGTAACTTTTTGCCTTTTTGCCCAATGGTTGGAAAGTTACTTGAATAAATCATGATATCCAAATACAAATAAAAAGAAAAGCTGGAATTTCTGATCTAGAATTTGAATATACACCATGCCTGTCATTCATACGGTTCATTCACTTAGTTTGTTGTTCAAATACTGAAAACAAATGATAGTCTATTAGCTGGAAAACTAGCTTAACATTTAGAAGCGCATAGGGTTTGCTCATTGTTTTCCTGCTGACTTGTTACATTACTGGAAGAGCTCTCAAAGTGAAAGAGTACTTGAAGTTGTAGCCAGTGGCAGTCCTTACGGTAAACATTTAATGTCTGTTTGAACCACACATTGGTCAGTATGCTGAACAGCCTTCCATTTAGCAGGTAGGTCAAATGCCAAGAGGTAACCAGTATAGAAATTTTAGGAGGAAGATGCCTGTTTCAAAATCCAAGCAAATTAGAAAAAGATTTACTTTGGTCCCCTCTAGATTGATAATGATTCCACCCCTTACAGTTTGTCAAAATACAGACACATTTCTTCATGTTCTCTGAGAACAGTAAGTACCTGAGGTCACTTAAAGAAGATGAACTGAAAAACAAATAGGCTTTGGATCTTTACAGCCCAGGCATTAGCTCTGTGACAGGATTACAGGCCTACCAAGACCAAAACACTTAAAGGCACTCTCAGAAATTAATGTGACTGAGAAATCTGGAGGTATGAAAGCTGATGTGCTTGAGTCAACTTGCCTTCAGGATTAGGTTAATACTGAATAGGGATTTTCTATGTAAGTCTTTCTGGCCATCTGTTCCAGTCTGTGCAATTAAGGTACCAGCATTATCAAACTACAGGATTACTGCACTAAAAAGAGGAAATACATGGAAAAAAGTGATGCATTAGAATTAGGGGAATAACATACCTGAGCACATGAATACTGTCAATATATTCTGTTCAAACATCTTATGTCATTCTGATCCTTTCGCTCTTGAATCTTCTCTCTTGGAATATTTTTCCTTTAAAATTAAAAGTTTGTGATTTTTAAGATCCAGAAAGTCAGACTATGTCTACTGTAATGTTCTCATGTTGCTTCATGCTCTGTGCATTAGGCAGTACTTATGGACTTTTCTCTCTAGGTCTCGACTGAAGAAGGAATGAGCTTAGCCAGAGAGTACTCCTGCTCCTTTTTCGAGACTTCAGCTGCCCTCCGCTTCTACATCGATGATGTCTTTCATGGACTAGTGAGGGAAATACGAAGGAAAGAGTTCTCACTGGTGGAGAAGAGGATAAGGAGGAAGGATAGTCTGTGGCGGAAACTGAAAGGATCCCTGAAGAAAAAAAAGGGAAGTACAACCTGATGGCAGTTCCCTGTGAGCCACCCATCGGGAGCTGACCACAGTGACCCAGAACAGTTCAAAAAGGCATCATTGACATAGCATCTTCCAAAGTAGGTCCTGGAGCATTTTCCCTTCAGCCTTCATGCAGATGTAGCTCCTTGAAGGCCCAATTCATGGTTGCCTGTGGCTCCTCTGTATTATAAAGTCACTTAGCATACCCTTTCATCTCTTCTCTGCAAAACTGAGTGAAGAAAATGTGGTTTTTTACTTGTGATCCCTGGCTGGTCTTCACATGGTAGGAGTTAAGCTAGTGTACAAGGCAGGACCAGCTTCCACCAGCTCTAGGAGAAGGGGTTGCACTTACTGCCTCCTCTCTACATGCTTTTCACTCTCCCAAAAATTAATAACATTGATTTCAGTGGACTTTTTGAGTATTTAAGGACTTTAAGAGTTGACCTCCAGCTTTGCATTCTAATATAGGTTTAGGGTTAGACTGTGCTCAGCCCATGTCTTTGTGAATGTGTATGTGTAAAGCAGGCCCAGGGGAATGCTAATGGCTTCAGATTTTTGCCCAGTAGATCCCTATGCTCATTGTGTCCTTATCATTTAGCATGAAGGGTTGGCAAGCATAGCACAAGTAACACACACCAGCTGTCCAGAGGCTGCGGGGCTACTGCTCTGTCTCCTCTGCACATTACTCACCAGGACTGGCTAGCAGATGTGAAGATGTCCTGGAGACATGCAGTGCATTAGAACCATAGAATAGTTTGGGTTGGAAGGGACTTTTAAAGGTCATCTGGTCCAAACCTGTGCAGTCAGCAAGGACATCATTAACTAGATCAGGTTGTCAGAGCTCTGTCCAGCCTGACCTTGAATGTTCCCAGGGATGGGCCATCCACTGCCTCTCTGGGCATCCTGTGCCAGTCCCTCACCATTGGACACACTCCTACATCCCACCAGGAGCACAAAAAAGCACTGTCTGATTTTTCTCACAGCCTTTCCTAGAGCAATGCAGCTTTGTCACAGAGTGTAAAAACATTTGCGATGTACCATTCAGCCCTTGACTTACTCGAGAACTCCGTAAGGTCAGTTGCCATCTTTCACAGCCCTTGACCGTCCAAGTGAATCATTTGGTTGATCAGTTGGATAGGTCTTTTAAATATTCCTTTTTTAAAGCTAGCATGAAGTATAGTCTCATTGACCCATTCTCTTCCCAAACTTATTTTACTATTCACTTTATTTATAGATTTTACAATTAAAACATGCATACATTTTGTCAAGAAATAAAGATTGTGATTTCCATGAAACGATACTAGTAATGTCATTTGTACTGGAGTAATAAATGGTATCATTAGAAAAATACATATAAGTAAATGTTATTTTTTCACATATGTCCTGGGTTCAGCAGTAGCAGTCATTTTTCTCCTTCTTGGTAGCTGGTGCAGTGCAGTGTTTTGACTTTTGGCCTGGGAACAGAGCTGATAACAATGATGTTTTGGTTTGGCCAAAGACTTTGTGAGCCTCATGCTCTGCCAGGGAGGAGGGGAAGCCGGGAGGAAGCAGAGACAGGACACCTGACCCAGGCTAGCCAAAGAGGTATTCCATACCACAGCACACCATGCCCAGGATGTAACTGGGAGTTAACCAGAGGGCTGGTAGACTGCAGGGTTGGAGGAGGTATCGGTCAGAGCTTGGTCGGGCTGGGGGGGGTGGCGAGTTATCGGTCGGCTGGTGGTGAGATGTATTCTCTTCCCTTGTTATTCCTTTATCATTGTTATTATTGGTGGTAGCAGCAGTGATTTGCGTTATACCTTAGTTACTAAACTGTTCTTATCTCAACCCGTGGGAGTTGCATTCTTTTCAATTCTCCTCTCCGTCCCTCCGGGAATAGGGGGAGTGCAAGAAGGGGGGGAAGTGAGTGAAAGAGTTGTCTGACTGGGTTTAAACCACGACAACATTTGTTTTTGACTATTTTATGGGGTTTCAGTTATATTTTGGATGATATGGGGGAGCAGTTAATTTGCTTTGCTCTGTTAAGCTTGAGAAGGTTATGGTTTTATGAAGAATTTTGAAGAATTTTGGTTCATTCAAGCCATTCATCTGATGATTTGTTCTCTGCTTTTCCTTCCTTTCAAGAAAAACCTCTAATATGTTTTGACTTGTCAAAAATTCTCCATCAAAAGTACTATTTTGCTGTATATAGTTAGGTAATATGTAGCTATATGCTATGTATTTTATATAATACAATATTGCATACTGTATTGCACACAAACACATTCATGCATTTAAGATGCATTTTCTGCTTCGTGCCTCCAACAGCTGAAGTCTGCATTTATACTATTGCAATTACTATTATTATTTTACCTGTATTGCCACAGAGGCTTTAGGCTGAACATCCTAGAGAAAAAGAGATGTGCTTGTTCAAAGAGTTCATGTGCTAAGTATTGGTGGAGAGACAACAGGAGGCTGCACTGAACCGACGGCAGCTGTGAGACAATAAATAACAATGGGAAACATCTGTGACTGTTCCAGTACTGCACACGGCAAAGGGGGGAATGAAACAGTTGTTCATGTGTAAGAGGCCATAGTAATTACTATCCTGAGAAACCTTGGGGGATGTTCATTGGTCTTTTTCAGGCAGATGCCTAAGCTTTGAGTCAATTGAAAACCATTTAGTATTGCCTATTATGTCATTTAACCCACCCTAATGAGGGACATACTATATCAAGACTGGCTTGGCTTTTAGGGGTACCTTGTTCAAGTCTTGTTTGCAATACAGCAGATGTTGCAGAAGAGGACACAGGCAAAGTCTAAGATTCATCCTTGAATGGATTCATATTTTAAACACGCCCATCCTCTGACATTAAAGTCATCTGGCATGGAGCAACATCTTCCCATACCATTAAGCTCTCTTAGTCTTCACAGCAGGGTTACCACACACTAACTGCTGTTGAAAGTGGTCCCCGGACTATGCTAGGTTCTGCATCATGCGCAGCAACTGATTACAAAAGTGCAGGCCTGCCATGGTCAGAAACAAAGGGATCATTTAAAAAAATTAACAGTATGGGTGACTCCCTTGGTATGTTCAAACTGCTAGTGCAGACACAGATACATAGCCATATTTTTAGATTTACCAAGCCGATGAAATCTCCAGGTTCTGATTTGTGTCTATACTCCGCACCTACATGACACATTTTGAAAGATATTTGGTGCTAGGTTAGTGCCTTCAAGAAGAATGAGGCATCATACCCTCTGTAGGTCTTCTGCTACATCTTCCATGAGCAGTTTCAGGTATCTGAATATGTACTGGACATAGGGCTCTCTCCACTTTGATCATATACAGCTTGATCATGACACCTAGTCATTCATTCCTTCTTTGACTAATGAGGAGGGAGAGGTTCCTCTGCTTGATTATTTGTCCTGTCTGGCTTGTATGGTGTCCTAGTTTCAGCTCGGATAGAGTTAATTTTCTTCCTAGCAGCTGGTGCAATCCTGTGTTCTGGCTTGAGTTTGAGAACAATGCTGGTAACACACTGACGTTTTAGTTGTTGCTCAGTAGCATTTACCCTGGTCAAGGATTTTTCAGTCTCATGCTCTGCCAATGAGTAGGGGCATGGGAAGCAGGGAGGAAACAGAGACAGAACACCTGACCCAAACTAGCCAAAGGGGTATTCCATACCACAGCACATCATGCCCAGTATATAAACTGGGGGGAGTTACCCAGAAGGGACCGACTGCTGCTTGGGAATGAGCTGGATATCGGTCAATACGTGATGAGCTATTGTACTAGTTTGGTTTTTTTTAATATTTTCCTTGGGGTCTATTTGACTCTCTCTCTTGCTCCTTTTAATTACTATTATTATTATTATTATTATTATTATTATTAAATTGACATATGCTAAACACCATCTTTAATAATTGTTGCATCCAATATCTATAGCAGAGAATTGTGTTTTAAATACTTGGCATTGGATCTCATCTCTAAAACACCTGGCCATCCTTTATTTTTAAATTGGAAAAGTCATTCAGATTTATCATCAGCCAATCCTTCAATAATCTGTAATGCTTAACCTCAGTTAATTGAGCAGAGCTGATGGAGGTTATAGTCTGTGAGGATAACGTAAGTCATAACTGCGCAAAAAGCTGGGTGCAGCTGCTTTACTTAATTAATCATTATGATTCCATCGCAGAGTATTGTATTTAGCTGTCAAACCTAACTGACAGAATTAAAAACCAGCAGATCTGTGTCTAAAGACTTTTCCATCTCTAACTAGTCTCTCACCTAATCAAGTCTGGAAGATTTGAGGGAAGAAACTGATCACCTTATTTTGCTGTGTTGCCTATAGTCCATGAAGATGGCAGCTATAACTTACTCCACTGTCAGACTGTGTTGCAGCTGGGCCATAATTCAGTTTCCTCCAGGATTATAATTAAAGACAGCTAATAAATAAAATAATAGAACTTTGAAAATGTATCCATGGTGTTTCTCCCAAATTTATAATATATGGCAGTTAATTACCTTTCTTCCCTGTTATGGCAGATCACATGTTTTATCCAGTTGAAAAGTAATCAGGGGAAGGCTGTAAGTCTAAATGGAATACTACAGTTCTTCAGTTTTCCTTTTTCATGCGTTTTGCATACAGGCTTTAGAACTTAAACTCAGAAAACTAAGGTCATGAACTAAGTTAACAGTCTGATGTTTTCACAAATGGTTGAAAATAATTTCTTTAAACACACAAAAAATGTATCTGCTGAGACTGAATTGTAAGAAGCCATAGCTGGAATGAAAAAGACTCCTAATTTTGTCCATTACATATATTATATACACACAATATATATAAATAACACACATAAAACAATAACATATGTAGTTTCTATATGTTTCCCATTCTTAGCCTAAGTTATTTGAGCCCTCCCTATATCATGACAGATAGAAAAGAACATACTCAACAAGCAAAAGATGGGTTTTTCAACAGTTTAGTGTCTGATAGTGATGATTTGCACCCTATAACTGTGTCAAAATCTTCTCCCAAGGTGAACGTTACTGTCTGAGGGCCAGAGTGTGGTATTTGTGATAAGCAAAATAACTGTCAGTGGGCCTTCTTGTAGAGACAGCAAGTGAAGTTGAAGGTAGCTGCTGCAGCCACCTCCGAAGGAAACACTGTGACCATGAGTTTGACTGTTAAAAATTAAACTGAAAACCATCAATTCATTTTATACAAAACACACAATGTTTACAGTTAGCTACGGGAATGCACCGGTGTTTGCCTGAATTTGTACTAGCAATGGAAAGATGTATGTCTAACATAGACAATTATGTTAATATAATTCAATTAAGTATACTTAGAGTAGTTAGCCATATTTAGACATCCCCCTCAGGGACTCCATTCAAGTGTGCATCATGCACACTGCTTATTGTTTATAACCCTGAAAAAAATCACTGTAAGTTAGCAGTGGAAAGACAAAATTACATAAAGTGACTTTAATACAGTATTGGAATCTCTGTTCTCAGAAAATCGTATGTCAATTGAATAGAATAGTGAGTTGCACCAGTTCTGATCAGCATCCTTTTTAGCACTGCTTCCAGCTTCATCCGTCCCTTCAAGTACTTGGAGCTCCTTAGGATGCCTGCCTGGCGAAATGATTTGTAAAGGGGTTGGCATTGTCTCACAGATGCTGTGAAAGTCACCCCAAGCAGCATTGCCCTGCACCTCTAGCCTGATTTATCACTCCCTGATGCTCCTGGTTCTAAGCCTTCTCAATTTGAGCTCTCCAATTTTTGTTACATCGTGCTGAATTATGAGGCTGTTTTGTGATGAGGACAAATGTCCACTCAAGAGCACCAAACTCATTTCATGATCTGAACTTTCCCCCCAAGAGGTAATAAAGACAAGAACATCCAAAGCCATTGCATCACCTACTGTATATCTTCTGTCAATAGATAATTAATGTGACAATGAGACTTTCCCATTTTCACACTTCGTCATGCATCATTTTTTTACAGTGCTTTTAGACTTAACAACTGTTTCACAACTATACAGCCAAGTGAAAAAGCCATTATTTTTCATGGCAGCAGTTGGAACAGAATTCCAGTTAAATAATGATTTTAGTAGGGTAAAGTAAAGCAAGATTTTTATATTATTAGTATTATTATATTACTTTTATCTGTTTTAAAGAAAACAATACCCTTTTACATTTATGGTTTAAGTATAACTAGTAGAAGAAGAAGGCAGTCTATTTCACACCTACGAAATTCAGTGGACAAAAGTTTTATATTTGTCTGCTCTTGCCTCATTCTGCAAATGAT